TTCTCTGGCCCTCTGTACAACCTTTAAATAGATCATGAAGACTGTAAGTAAAAAATAAATTTAAAAATCCCACCAAGCATTTTATTGCTGGCTCCCTCTTCCATTTAATTGTATCTGTTGCTGTTTTTAATAAAATGTTATGTATTCTGGATTGTATCCAGCCAAGTCATATGCAAAAGTAAATCCACTGAAATGAATGGCTTGTGTATAACATTAGTCATACTCAGACTAGACCTATTGAAATGGATAGACATGGCTAACTTTGGCCCATTAATTTCAATGTGCTTGCTTTGGGTAGAACTTAGGTGACTACAAACAATGGGTTCAAATTAGGCAAGTTTACTACTTCCATGGCCTACTCTGAGTAGACAAGTCTGTTCTAAGTTCAAAAAAGTCTGGGATGAGGAGCCAGCAATGCAATCCAATAAAATGCTTCATCCATTATTTTTTTAAGTCTTCAGGGTCTACTACTCAGCTATTCTGCTCATATGGTGGAAAACCACATGTCTTCCCAAAGCTCACAAGCCTTCTTCCACTTGCATCCCCCATCAGGGGGTGCTGAGAAGGCTCTTGCCTCTGATCCTGGCCAAGAAATACAGCCATCATGATAAGATTGAGGGCATCTGTCAACTTGGGCTTCTCTCCGTTTCTGATTTTTTCAATCTTCAGTTCTCCATATTTCCACACCCACTTGCTATTTTTAAAAGTCTCCATGAAAACTCATCAGCACCTTTGTGTGAATTTCTCCCAATATACATGTCGGACAACATCATCATCATCATCATTTATTATTATTATTGTCTGATAGTTTGCTGCTTTCAATGCCACCTTCAACTCCGCTGTTTCACTTTGTCTCATGATACGATAATAGGACCACTTCTTGAGTGGGGTAGGACAGCTAGACAGGGACGTGTGTGTGTGTGTGTGTGTGTGTGTGTGTGTGTATATAAAGTGTGCATATATTAGTGAAAACAACATACAGAAATACATTATATTAGGGTAAATGACATTGCAAAAATGTGTCTACTTGGCAAAATTGTGTACAAAATATGTCTATTAGGAGAATTTCATTCTAAATACCGAATTTTCATGAGAAATTTTTTCAATTGCAAACTTATGAGAAAATGCAGAGAATGAAAAATCAGAGGCTCAGAACAAGATTGATTAATTCACCCAATCCTGGGTTGCATTCAGCTAAATCCTACTTAGAGTAGACCCACTGAGATACATGAACCTAAGTCAGTCGTGTCTACTCACTTCAGTGGTCTACTCTGAGTGGAATTTGCATTGAATACTATCCCCTAAGTCCAATACATCTGGAGGGCCCCACATTGGCTACCCCTGCACTAGGTCACTTGGATATAGTCAGGCTTTACATCCTCATATCCATTACTGAGCCCTCCACACATTCAAAACATACTGTCTTTGAAGACTACAGCAGAGGAGGAAACTGAAACGCCGATCAATTAGTCAGCATAATTAAGAGATTAATGGACTGATTGCAGATCAAACAAAACCCAAAGCGATTTTTAATCAGATGTGGCCACCTGGAGCCTTCCACTTGCATCATCAACCAGCTTCTGCAGCTCCAATCCTGTTTCCTCTCTGTTACTTAACAACAAGCAGTTGGGAGGGTTATATTTCGGGGGCTGCTTCTGCAAGCTGGGAGTACAGGCTAGAGGATATGGAAGATAGCATGTGTTTGTTTGTTTGTTTGTTTGTTTGTTTGTTTGTTTGTTTGTTTGTTTGTTGAATTTATATCCCACCCTTCTTCCTGAAGGAGCCCTGGGCTGCAGTGTAGACTAATGAAGTTAATGGACACGTCTAACTTAGGTTCACCAGTAGGCAGAGGAGACGAAATGCAATAAGAACTGCTTCTCTGTGTACTCATTAATTAATCAAATTTATATGCCACCCTTCCAAAGGAGCCCAGGATGCAAGCGTATCAGTGATAAAACAATTCAATAATAACATATAAAAGCATCTTTTAAAAATGCTTTTAAAGGCTGGCCCAAAAGCTTTTTGCTGCTTTGGGCAAAGTCAATTTTATCCCCTCTGGATGGGGGAGAAGTTTGATTTTGTTTGCATTTTAATGAGAAATGCTCCAATTCACTATTCTTGAACCAAAACCCAGACCAAAACACAATTATCCTTAAAATTAACACTTTCCTGAAATTTGTGATTCAAACACGCACTGTGTTCAGGGAAAGTGTGCATAAAAATCCATATACGTTAGTGAAAGAAATGTACAAAAATTCATTATATTAGAGAAAAGTGCTTGTAGAAATGTGTATATTAGTCAAAACTGCATACAAAAATTTGTGCATTCAAGAAAATTTACACTAAAATCCTGAGAATATTTCATCGGCATTTTTTAAAAAATGGCAAATTGCTGCAGAAACATGAACCAAATATAAGATTGGGGGGGGGGGGGAATGAGACACTGAAACTGACAGATTGATTCATCTCTAGACCTGTACATTACATATATGCACAGCCACCTTTGTGTGTCTTATCATATTACTTCCAACATACCTGTATACTGACCTATTTCCCCCATGCTTGAGAGCCTGAGACCCCACCCCCCATCACTATGGCCATGCCTAGTTCCTTTGTGGAAGGCCAGACTCCACTTATATAACTGCTGCCTGGGATAAAGCAGAAACTCACAGCCACCCTACAACAGATTATCTAAATTCAAAAATATACCTTGGCAGCTGCAGGGTGGGAAATGGCAGGCTGTGCCCTGGACTGTATGCTGCTTAGATGTCCTTGCATATACATGCATATGCATGAAAACTAGAACCATTCAGTTGGGGCCTTACAGGCAATCTAATCCAACCTTCTGCAAACAGTCCAGAGCATCCCCCAAAAAGCAGTTCCCCAGTCTCTGCCTGAAGCTCCCATCACACCTCTAGGTCAGGCATAGGCAAACTTGGCCTTCCAGATGCTTTGGGACTACAAATCCCATCATCCCTGACCACTGGTCCTGTTAGCTAGGGATGATGGGAGCTGTAGTCCCAAAACATCTGGAGGGCCGAGTTTGCCTATGCCTGCTCTAGGTAACTGTATGGGCTTCTCTTTTTGCCATGCTTGTATTTAGGCCTGTTTCATGCACTTGAAGTGTTGCTGAACTTTTGTTTTATTTGCTTTTACATGTTTTTATATTGCTGCTTTATTAGTTTGTATTTTTGTTTTAGCAATCTCCTTTGTTTTTGATATTGTATACCACTTAGAGATTTTAAAAATAAGTAGTTCATCAATGCTTTCGAATAAATAAATGGTTCCACTGCCTAACTGCCCAGCTATTGAGACATTGCTCCTAGGCTGCATATGTAACATATGTTTAACGTACATTCCACCCACCCCTGAAATAATAATGGGAATGGTAGTTTACTCATCACAGAGCTGCCTTTCTCAGCACCCTTAGCAAACTACAGTTCCCATGATTTGCTGGGCAAGGGCATGAAATATGCTTTCGATGCATGGCATAAACACAGTTCAGAAATATAACCAATGGAGAACTCTAGCAGCTCCACACTAGCACACTTTGTTGACAGGGTGAGGCTGTTGTTGCCTCCCCAAAGCCATGTGCTAATGCCAGTTGCAAAATTTCAGTCAGTGGAAGAAGAAAAACCCTCTTCTGGCACATGAAGGTATTGGCACAAAGCTGGGTTGCCCACAAGCTTAAACTAACAGAATCTCATCCGATTAGAACAGGCAAGTCCAACATAACAGCAGCTCATCCGCCTATCACAGAGATCTTTAATTCCTGTCCTGTGATGAAATGTAAAAGAGGAGTAGGGGATGATTCACAGTTGAATTTGGGCCTGCATTAACAATTCTGCTAAGGAGATGGGCATGGTGTCCAAAGGCAGGTCACTGTTTATTGGTTTCTAGGGGACTGCTGAGTACCTCCTGGTTCCTAGGAATTTAAAAATAAGCCACGACCAGATGGGCCTTGGTCAGAGCTTGCTAGGGTGCTGCTTACATTTCTAACCAAAACGGCATTCTGTCGTGAGAGTGGGAAGTGTTTCAACAGGAGAGAGTCAAAGGAGCCAGGAGTTCTGCTGGAGACTCCTTGAACAGCCCTGACAAAGTATCCAAGAACCTCTCTTGTTAGCGAAATTTCCCATGGGAGCTCATTGTTAGACAATCTCCCTTAAATCTTCTGAACAGGGCAAAGGCAGATTCACAGCCCCCCCCCCCAGCTAAAGGTGGCAATTTCCAAAAAGAGGCGTGTGTGGAGGGAGGCTCAGTAGAAACAGCCAGGTAGCTACCACACTGCCCACCTCACAGCATCTGCCACCTGAAGCAATTGCCGCACTCTGCCTGATGGTGGGCCGACTGCCCTGCATAAGGTCCTTTCCAACCCATTTTATTTCTGCAGTTTGCAGACAGGGTTCCATCACAAAACTATGTCCCCTGTGATTAGCTGCCTCTCACATCACCATCAGCAGAAGCAGCTTGCCAGGTAGGAAGGAGCCACTATGGTAGCTGCTGCTGCTTCTTACCAGGGAGGAACAAGACAGTTGGGGAGGTTGGTGCAGTGTAAACGTACCAGCAGGAGCATTGGATTTGTTCCTCCAGTGTGGTTGCACCGCATCAACCTCTTTGCTGCTGCATCACCCCTCTCCCTCCCAGTGAGCAACAGTGACCCACCTGCTGGGAAGCTTCACCTCACCTGCTGAGCCACTTCTGACTATCCGTACAGTGTAGCAGTGCGCAAGGCATGATTTCCCTTGATCATGTCTGTGCGTCCCATGCCAGCAGAGTTCCATCAGCGATGCGGACACTGGTCTCAGAAGGGTTTCACAATGAGAGGCACTTTTATATGTTACCCATGCAAAGCAGCCACAGCAAGTGTGGTGCCACAGTGGCAATCCGACACAACTTGGATACCTCAAAGCAGCAAAAGGTCTCATGCACCCGCAAGCATTAGCTTGAGAACTGTCGCCCGGCCACACGCTTCCCCTTCCAAGGAAAGACAACAAACTTACTTCTTGGCTCCCGGGGTCCATCAACAGTCACTTTAATGGCACGGTGATAGGTAGCGACCTGGGTGGGGTTTGTGAAGACTGTAATTGTCAATGTGAAGCTTTTTCCTAAAGACCAAGGGAGGAAAAAACAGAGAAGAGAAAGCACACATGAGTCCAGGGTGCAAGTGTATGGGATCCAGGATATAATGGAAGGGTGCAGAGCATGGGCACCCTCAGGGGTTTTACCTGGGGTGGGGGGAGTAGAATACTGGAAGGGGTGGGAAAGGTTAATCTCTCACTAATTTGAGAAGAATAACGCCTATACATTTTTGCCTCATATCTCAGGTGCTTCAAATGCTAGAAACTTACTCCTTTTTTTAGAAATGAAAGCTGGGGGTCTTTGGATCATGATTCACGCAGGAGGAGAGCAACAGCCTCCCTTGCTTCTACCATATGTACCCGTGGTAGATGGGCAGCCATGTTGAAAGCAAGGCCTGGCTTAAATTTTAAGCAAGGGCTTACTAAGGCTGCTTTCCTTTGCTACTACTGTACCCCCTTGCTGTCAGGATCTGAGGCTGCAGAAACAGCTAGAGGGGATAAAATTAACAATCTATTATATTAAGTCACTTGGCAGTAAGGTGAAAAAATTTAGCAACTGGTCTCATAGTATAAATAATAATAATAATAATAATAATAATAATAATAATAATAATAATAATAGAATTTATACACCACCAGAGGTCTCAGGGCAATTCACAGAATAAATCAAAATATAAAACCACAAAACACATAATCAAAATAAAAACAACAACCTAATAACACTCCCAACCCCCAACCCCCCACATTTTAAAAGGGCATAAGATGTCATATCACAGTGCACAGCATCTAAACACTACTAACACTGATCTATGCTTTCAGAAAAGTCACAAGATGCAGCCTTCTTTAGCCTGTACCACTTCAAAGTTTAGCTTGGAGTGGGGGAGGCAGGAGTGACTGCTGGATTGAATCATCATCCGTATCAAGAACTTCCTCCTAGCAAAAAGTCAGCATGTGAGGGCTTTAGTCTAGTTTTCTATCAAATGTGCTACATTTCTATATGCAGGACCTTATGGCCAGGTGTGTATGCTTGGAGGAAGAAGCATTCAGCTCCCTGGCTTCCCACCTGAACTCTGGATTGGCATAATCCTAGGGGGGCTGGATCTTGAAATTTGTTTGCTTATTTATTTAAAATAAAGGTACGGGAGTAAAGGAGCAAACACAGCCATCCTTCATACTTTTGTTTACTGTAATATAGTAGTTCTGAACAGCCCAAATCTAGAAACAAATAAAAACACTCAGGAGCACCTGTCAAGCCAAATAGCTAACATTTACTATAAATAACCATCCTATAAGGGATGCCAGTATTACTAAACTCATTCTACAGGTGAAGAAGTGAAAGCACAAGCACCTGCCTGTGCTTGTAGCTGAGGCAAATTTTTAATGTTCTTGGCCAACATATGCTCCTAGCCACTACAATTACACCACCTCTCTATCACGTGTGATGTGGGCATTGCTAGGGACAGTGGTATGAATTCCAGGGGAGAGGCAGAGTTTGCCCTAACCTTTCCAAAATGTCAGGAATGTGGAACCCCTGACTCTCCAGAAACCTTTGGATTCCATCTCCCATCAGCTCCAGCCAGCAGGGCCACTGGTGAGGGATTGGGGTTGTAGCCCAACAAAATCTAGAAGGCCACAGACTAGCCACCATGGTGTGGACCTGGAGCTGTTCACTACCTCCTGAACAAGAAGCAGAACTCTGGATATATCATCTGTGAGAATCTGGATGGGTACCAAAGATCTACTAAAACCTTGCTTTCAACCCACAAAACCACAGCTTCCTTTGTTGACTACATACAATCCATTGCCAGTTGGAGGTGCACTGATAGCATCGCCAGACTGGCTGGCTGGCTATGGATCATAGCTGAACAAAGGCAACTGATAACGGGCAGAGCTCCTGCCAGCATCTGTGACAGTTGGTGAAACATAATCCAGTTTCACCTTGGTGACCAGAATGAACCAGCAGGAACCTTGGTGATGGATATCTTCAGGGGACAACACCATTATGCCACTATGGTGATTAGGCCTTAATTTAGTCTGAGCCAGAGGTTGCCACAACTAGGCCTAGGTCTTGCCTTGAGTGCCAGAGCTCAGGTCAGAGCATGTGAAATAGGCCTGCCTCTGGAGCCCCGGTCAGGCATTCTGCTTGTGTGTAAACCCTACAAATGAACTGGGAAGTGGGGACAGGTATGTGCCATTCCGTATCAGCATCCCTTCCCCCCTCCAATTGCCATGGGCAACTGTGTGGTTCAGGGAAGGTCACAGAGGCTCGCTGTCAAGTGGGGTGGTGCTGTTACGCTAGCTTCCTAGCAGGCGAGTTGCTGCTGCTGCTTACCAGAAGGGAGAAGGGAAGGGGCAAGGTGGCAGGGAGGTTGGTGCAGTGCAAATGCACTGATAGGAACGCCATATTGGATCTGCCTCCGCATTCGCACTGTGCAGACTGCCTCACCCTTTCCTGTAAGCAAAAACGACCCAGTTGCCGGGAAGCGAGAGTGGCGGCTCCGCCCCACCCAGAGAGCTGTGTCTGTCTCAGTGCAATCTAGAACATCAATAGAAAGGACCATAGCTCAGCGGGAGAGCATCTGTTTTCCAAGCTGAAGCAGGTCTTTGTTCACATGAGGAGTTTATGAACAAGGAGAACACCCAAACAAGAGTCAGGTGCATGGGTTTGGGTTGGGCAAATCTGTTAGTTTCGGTTTTTCTCAGCTTCTCGTTTTTAAATCTAAAATTCAGTTCTCCCACTTTTCACACAATTTTGAAAGAAGAGGGCCTCATTAAAATTTATCAGCATCTTCGTGCAAAATTCTCCTAACGTACACACTTCTATGCAATTCTGACACACACACACACAGTTTTCCTTAGTGACATTTCTGTATGTCATTTTCACATGTATATGCATTTATATGCACATTTTACCTAAGTGTATGCATATTTGTACACATTACTAAATCTGGAGCCTCTGTTTTTAGGAATTAACTACTTTATTTTGTCTTGCTGTGGGCAGTCTGTCCCCACTTAGACTGAGTCACCTTCTTTAACTGGTTCTCCTCTGCCTTTATTACCAGTAACAGCTCATTGGGGACAGAAATGAGGCAGGTGTAAATATTTGTATTTGCACAATATCCTATTGAAGTTGCTTGCCTATAAATCAAGTCTGATGGGAAGAAGTTGTTTTATGGACTATTATACCAAGTGGTCCATAGTCCCTGAAGAAGGAAGTCAAATAAAATAATGATTTTATTGTTTATTGCTTATTTAGGCTGCAATTGTGTGCACACCAACGTGGAAGTAGGCCCCTTTGAGACCGACATGGCTTTCTTCTGAATACATAGAATCAGTGCTTTTTTTCTTAAAAAATGTTTAGGTATACTCTCATTTTGACTCAAGAAAATCACCATTTTATAGTTGAAATTGGGAAAAATAAATACAGTACATGGACAAAAGTGTATATTCTTAGTGTATTTTTAGTCTTTGCGGAAGCTGCCCAGAGTGGCTGGGGAAACCCAGCCAGATGGGTGGGGTACAAATAATAAATAAATAAATAAATTATTAATTAATTAATTAATTAATTAATTAATTATTATTATTATTATTATTATTATTATTACAAAGATTCACAAAATGCTTAGGGGTATGTGTACCCCTGTGTACTCCCCCCAGGAAAAAAAAAGCACTGCATAGAATTGCACTGTAAGACTTCTATCCCATTTACACATTTTAACTATGTGATCCCCTCACCCTGCCCACATTCCTGTCTTAGTTTTTTACACCATTTTGGACAAGGGCGGCCATTTCTCTTTTGTGCTGCTGCATATATGTTACCTCATGGTGTTAGGCTGATAGTATTGTAGTGCAGCCTTTATATATTTGTACCCAGGGAATTATTGAGCTCTGTAACTATTGAGAGTATATGTGAGTATGGGTGAATGTGGGCAGGTTGTCTGAGGTACAAATGTGTTAGTGGATGTGGATAGTAAATGAGTGTAAGTGTACTGCGTGAGTGAAATTCTATGTTTAGGAGTCTGTGTTTGTATTGTATTGTATTGCTTGTATTATTTATGGATTTTGCTCTTTTTCATTCTGTATTTAATCCTTCGTTATCTTTTCTGATGAAAAGCCTAATATCAATACTTGAAAACAAATAAATAAAACATTTCAGCAATGCTGCATCTCCAGGCAAAGAGCAGCTCCACCTTCTCTATGCATTAAGCTGTTAAAGGCACAATACTGAAGTTTTGGATATTTCCCCCATTGAAGGGGGCTGTTGCACACAGAAAAATAGCTCATCAAGGGAAATGTTAGGCTGAACCTGATTAGCTGGCATGCTAGATTTCTATGAACAAGGAGATTTCATGTTCATGTGTGTGAGCATTCAAACATGCATCCCCTGGGGAACACACATTTGTACACCCCCAATCTTATATGGTACAGTCCACAAAAAAAGTTAGCACTTGATCCTGCTAATTACAAACACTGGCATTAACAACACAGTGGACAGCTGGTAAGCACATGTCAGGCAGCCTCTCTAGCTTCCTGTGCTTAGAGCAGATGTAGGGGACCTTAAGCCCAGGGCTTTTTTTTTCTGGAAAAAGAGGTGGTGGAACTTGATGAGCACCTACCCAAAGTTGCTGAGCTCTTTGTCCCCACTGCCACTTTCGGCAGCCACAATGGTCACGCCAACACAATCGTCACAGCAACCTGATCATCATGCCACACAGCCCCAGGTACTGTGCCCCAACCTAATGGAGCTGCAGGAACACGCCAAAGAGGTGCTGGAACTCCAGTGTGTTCCAGCTGAAAAAAAGCCCTGCTTAAGCCCTCCAGATGTTACTGAAAACAACTACCATCAGTCCCAGCAAGCATGGCTAATGGCCAGGGAGAATGGGATTTGTAGTTCAGCAACATCTGGAAGGCAAATGGTTCCCTACCCGTGATTTAGAAGAAATCACAACCAAGGATATCATGAGGTTTTCAGGAAGCACAGACTCCCAGAAAGGCTATAGAAGGAAAGCTACCAGATATTGGTGAAAGAAACTCACAAAAACTCATCCAACTCAAAAGTGAGTGTGAATGCAAACACACAAACAAACAAACAAATTCTCATCCTTGAGAATTTCACCTATGTTTCCTCTGCCCTTCAATAATTTTCAAATGTAGGGGGGTTTCCTCGTTAATTGGTGGGAAATCATTGCAAAAAGCAACAACAACAACCCAAAAGGTAAAATACATGTTCAGGACAGCACTATCCTGTTCAGAATTAGTCTACACTGTCAGAAACATGGACTTTTTATAGCATGCAGAACAGAGAGCTCAAACGGGACATTTCATGCACTTGAAGACAAAAGACTTTTTGCTAACCAAGAGGCTTTAGACTCACGTCTCCTAGTTTGAAATCAAACTCCTCACAGGCTTCCCAAGGACTCCAGACTACTGTAATTTCTTATCCCAGACATGGAGACCTGAGTAGGGGGGTTCCTAATGAATTCAAGAGTCAAATTCGGATGGAGCTATGTACAGTTTGGAAATTTGTGTAAGGGGGATGGAAAAAAGGGGAGGGAGGGAGGAGACTTAAAGCAAATAATTGAGTACAGAAATGAAAGCTTAATTCATAAAAGCAAAACATTTTTCCATTCATCAACCTGCAAGCAGTTATGTGGGGGAGATTTTGAAAGAAAGCCTTGCCTGCCACTTAGGAAAGGAGCCAATGGGAAAGCGGAAATGCACGAAAGAATGTAAACTATTTGGGTTTCATAGAGAGCAACAAGTAAACAGTTATTACACGCAAATCATTCTTAAGATCACTTGGGCCTTAATGCCGAGAAGCCAAAAATCTCTTTGACGGTTTGCATGTATACATTCAAAAGACTGGAAGAAAGGCTGGCCAGCGGCCGACACGGTTATAGTGCGCCACTTCCTGTAGCAGCAGCAGCAGCACAGGCTGAAACACACCATAAGATCAGCATCAGGGCTGTTCATGCAACATAACTTATGCAGCTACAGTGTGGCCCTTTTTGCAGAAGAACAGGCACATGCTAAACACAGTAAGATCAGCATTGGCATTGGCCATGCAACAGATCTTTGCAGAATGAACACTGGGGTGGGGGCTTGGAATCCCAACTGCTGGCCTCACTCTGCCCTCCGTGCATTCTCTGCAGGGCCCAGGCATGTGTGCTTGTAAGTTGTACAGTGGGAGCAGGCAGAGCCTGTGGCCCTCCAGATGTCGCCCAGTCAGTAGCCCTTCTCTCCACTTGTGATTCCCATACTGCCTCTGACAGTGGAGGTAGAACATAGCCATCATGGCCAGTAGCTGCTTCCAGTAGCCTTATCCTCCACGGATTTGCCTAGTCCTCTTTCAAAGCCATCTATATTGGTGGCCACCATCACTATCTCTTGTGGGAGCAAATTCCATATTTTAACAATGCAATGTGTGAAGAAGTTGTTTCCTTTGTCTGTCCTGAATGTTCCAACAGGAGGTTCTCTACCCATTTTTCTGGGAGGTGATGGAGAAGGTAATATGTATATTTCATTTTTAATGCCTCCAGCTTTAAACTGCCTCTGATCATGGATCTTCCATTCAGCTATCATGACTAACAAGTAGGTCCTGCAACAAATCATGGCATGTATTCTGCTCCAGACTGGTTAGGGTCCCAGCCAGCTATTCCTCATGAGTTTTCCATTCCGTCCCCACTGCCTCAAACAGCCAGTCAGCATTTTGTGCCCACTGAACATGCTCAGTCCTCAATGTGCAATTTGGAAGTGCCCCCCCCCTAGACTTGTTTCCCTCTCAAAATTTGTTGTACTTCTATAAAACTTGGGATCCCCCCGCAACCCTGCTGAGGGATGAAACCTTTTTGATTACATGCTGCTATTGGAAGACCGTTTTGTTCCAGCAGTCTTTCATTTTATGGGGTTGTTTGTTTTTTAATTTAACTGATAACCCAGTCTCTCTTTTAAAATTATTCTGTACTCTTTTTAGGACATTGTGTTAAAAAAAAAAAGTCATTGTAAGACAAGGGTTTCCAAAGATTTCCACCTCATGGACCATGTGAAAACAGCTGAAGGTTGGGTGAACCACTTAATGATTTTTCTGCTTGTTGCAGCCATTGCAATGGACTGCACTAGAAGCTGTATGATTTTTTAATTGCATTTTTATGGCTTCTTTTATTTCTTATAGGATAATTCCCATAGAATTCAGATTGTAACACAATAAAATAGAATATGCAAGAAAAGAAACCATGAAAATGCAATTAAAAGTTAATATGAATATTTAATGGAATAGATGTGCTGTCTCCCATCTTAACCACAAATCCACAGACATGCCATGGGCCACCTGAATGAAGCTTCTGGACTACAGATAGTCCGCGAACCACAGTTTGGGAACTCCTGTTGTGAGGCACACTGTGTGGTATATTTACACAGGATGAAATGTTCTAATAAAGAAGCACAATATGTGTGGATAGTGTCGTGTGTGGATATCCTCCAAGAACTCAGCCACCTTTTAAAGCCACCTCTAAATTTGTTATCAACTCATTGATCTCCAGTCTCCTTACCTCGGCCGCTCCGTCCAACAAAGCGAAGGTCGTTAAACCTGGCCACTTGGTTTTTCATGACCGCAGAGGCATTCCGGAGCTCCGCTGAATAGTTCTCATCGTTACCGGCCATGACAGTAACCACAGTGCCATCAGGCACGTCTCCAAGGGCAACCACCTAGAAACCACCAGCAACAAGAAATGGTTGAGTTTAGAAACACAGGAGCATAGGAAGCTCCCCAAATGCTATTGGCTCATCTTAGCTCAGTACTGTGTCTGCTGATTGGTAGCAACTTTCCATGATTTTGTACATCCCTACCCTTGGGATAGGGACACGGGTGGCGCTGTGGGTTAAACCACAGAGCCTAGGACTTGCCAATCAGAAGGTGGCGGTTCGAATCCCCATGAGGGGGTAAGCTCCCGTTGTTTGGACCCAGCTCCTGCCCACCTAGCAGTTCGAAAGCATGTCAAAGTGCAAGTAGATAAATAGGTACTACTCCGGCGAGAAGGTAAACAGTGTTTCCGTGTGCTGCTCTGGTTTGCTAGAAGCGGCTTAGTCATGCTAGCCACATGACCCGGAAGCTGTACGCCGGCTCCCTCGGCCAATAAAGCGAGATGAGCGCAGCAACTCCAGAGTCGGTCACAACTGGACCTAATGGTCAAGGGTCCCTTTACCTTTAACCTTGGGATGCTGCGGGTTGAACCCAGGACTTTCTGCATCCAAAGCAGATGCTGTACCGCAGAGCTAGAACTTTGCCCTTAAAATTCCTTGCCCAACCTCTGAGGGGCATTTCAAGACGCTTTGGCCCCTGAGACAAAAAAAATCCATGGCATGCATGTATGATGCAGGCCTCCGCAAAGATGTAGTAGTTAACATAGGGAATATACTTGACCAATGAATTTCTCTTCCACGGGTCTCAGGCTGCAATCCAGTGCACACGTCACTTGGGATGCTTGAGGAATTTGAGCTCTGTGAATCCTGGTATGCACTGGCCTGATCTACACCTCCCAAGCTAATGTGTAGATAGGAAATTTGTTGTCTACCAGTTTTTGTACTTCCTAAATGTTCTGCATAGGATGTTTTCATCCATGCAAATATGCATGTGCTTTTAGCTTTTAATCTGTTTCAGTTTAATGTTGGTTTTAATTGTACATGCTATTTTTCTTTAAGTCTCTTTAAGCTACCTTTCGTATATAAAAAGTTGACTGATAAGTGCAATGTGTAATGATATATGAAAAATACATTTTGAAATGCATACTTTGGCTTCGGCTGAGGAGGGCGGGATATAAATAAAATTATTATTATTATTATTATTATTATTATTATTATTATTATTATTATTTAGAAATGGGTATTTTTTGAGAAAATATGTTTAGCAATGTGTATTTCCAGAGAAAATATATTTAAAGTTATATACTTAAAATAAAAATTTTCACACAGGTTTTTTTTTTTAATGGATTAATGCGGAAATGGGCTAAAATGGGTTTATAAAAAATACAAAAGTGAAAGAGACTGGAAAAAGACTGGAATTTGGCAACTAGGAAGTAAATAAAATTGAACTCAGAGGGCTGTACTTTTGGGTAAAACATGCATACGATCATGTTACAAAAGAGCAGAGTCACTTCTGAATAAACCTTTAGAAACTGAAATAAGTGCTATTATTTTAGTATTTCTTGGACACTTGGAAAACAAGGCTGTAACATATATAAGTATACCCACATAAACAATAAATATTAAGGCATTTAAGTTCAATAACCTATTTCGCTATCACCTGGGCTGTTGACCAATTCCAGCATTTATTACTGAACGGTTCAAAATGGAAACAAATTTGCATATTATCAAATCTTCACTGTTATTTTATTAAAATGTGGGATGAAGTAGAAGATAACTTGGGGGGGGCATGATCTAGTCAATTGATTTCAGTGGGAGAGAATGAAAAGTGTATTTAATTCTCCAGTGGAAATCAATGGTGCTTTAAAAGCATTTGACTTCATTCTGGATCATGTCCTTACAGTTTAAAATGCAAAAGCTATCACTTCCTGTTAGAAGCAAAGGCCACTCTTGACAACGTCGCTCTTCATTCCCTAGCAGAGTAACATAAAAGGGCCAAAATAGGCTCAAAATAGTAAGCTGAACTCGTAATTTGTGGACAGGCCAAATGAATTTAACTATGTCTAAGTTAATTAAGGAAGGATCTGGTCCAGCCAAAATTAAGTCCATCAATTACATTGGGAGAGGTAAAAACGTCTCCTCACCACCACCCTTGCAATCCATGGGGCTTAAACAGTGTAATCCTAGGTGATGTACAGATTTAATAAAATAAAAGGCTTAACTCAGAATGAAGTCCCACTGTGCTTGATGGGGCTTATTGCCAAACAAGGATGCACAGGAGTGCAGTCTAAAAGTCTTGGGCTGAATAAAGACCAACTTAGCAGCGATTGTTAAACTTTGGAGGAGGGGCTGTAGCTTTGTATGCAGAAGGTCCCTGGTTCAAACCCCAGCTCCTCCTGGAAAGTTTGGGAGAGACCCCTGTCTGAAAACCTGGAGCACCTCTGCCAATCAGTGCAGATAACACTGAGCTAGACAGGACTGATGATCTGGCAAAGCCAATTGTTATAAATTATTATTAATCTTTTATCAGACCATTAATATAATAGCATTTCACAAAGCTTCGTAAATGTAAGCCCCAAGGAGCTTCCTGTCTTAATTTTAGCCACATAGGAAACATAGGACTTTGTTTTGACCACAGTTAGGTAACAATAATCAACACTTAGATCAATGGGCAAGAAGAGAGTTTGACTTGTGCCTGGGATCCATGGCCTGAAATTTTGGGACGAGGGAGTCGGCCTAGTGCTTTTGAATTATCCCAGTGCTCTGGCACGCATCATTGGCCAGAATATCGGAAGGTGGGAGCAAGTTTCTTTCTTAATGAGCCACAGACTGGGCAGAATACTCCCTGCATGTTTCCCCTTGTAACTCTAACAGTAAAAGGGAATAGAAACATATTTTTAAATGAAAGGTTATACAGGACAGGGACATTGTTACAGAGGGGCCCAGGGCTGCCAACTCATTGTCACTGGGTTATGGGTGTCCTGCTCCTCCAATCTCCTTTTCTTATAGGGTGGCTGCAAAGCACAGTGCTGTTGAGACCTCAGTCACTCAGTGCCTCAGTTTACCCAGAGGCAAAATTGTTGCATCAATCTGTGCCCCCCTGAGCCTATTATGTTCCTAGCAATGCCTGTGGTGTGGGAGAAGGAGGAGAGCATACAGCATACCTTGCGGGTCATAGGACTTCTTTAACTATGGCCCTGATTCTGCCCAAAATGTAGACTTTTAAAAAATCATTTTAATTGTTGTTTTTTAACAAATACAATAACCATATGCTACTCTTCTTTTACTGTCCCTATGGATTTATTCCTAACAGATCAACAGAACTACCAGTGTCGCTGCTTTTAAATATAAAGAGGGAATTATTTTAGGATGAAATCCTTAGGTGGATTTCTAAGGGAATAGAAAAGGGTGGGTGGTTTTTTTTACCCTGGGGGTTTGGGTTATGTGTTGCAAGAGGTTCTGGGTTTTTTGTTTTTTGTTAAAGAGAATAATTTTGCACTTAGGGGTTCACTACTTTTGACTTGTGGAGTGGAAGAAGGGAAATGTCTTTTATTCTTTTAAACATTGGCATTTTAAGCTTTTAAGGCTGCAACCCTCTGTTGCCTTACTTATTGGTGGCTAAGTTCCATTAAACTCAAAAGGACTTTCTTCCGAACAAACACAGAGGATAGGATTGCACCTTCCTGCCTCATCAGAAGCAAGGTTTTCATTTGTGCCAGGACCAGCCTCTTAGCTGTCTTGAAAGCATTCCTAAACATGTACAGAGTCCATTTCCTCTACAAGCGAGCATAGAGTCTGAAACAAAAATCGATTGGGGGAAGAGCTTCTAGACCAGAAGGCGATGCATTCAGGCAGAGTTGAATCCCTGGATAACTTTACAGAGATTAATCACATATGAGAAGGGTATTATTATTATTATTATTATTATTATTATTATTATTATTCAGAAGCATTAAACCAGAGGAGACTAGTGCATTCCTCCTCTCTATAACGTCAGGATCGTTCTCTGGAAGAAGGGTGGGACGGCTCCGTAAACAGCACTGGAGGTGTGTGAGAGAGACGAAAAACACCAGCGAAAAGTTCCTCCGCGTCTATTTTGAACCTTAGGTTCCCCAACGCGCGCTTTGGGGTTTTGCTACAGTTGTAATTGGGCAGAGTCCGGCCGGAGGCTATTTTGTACTAACACCTGTTTGGCAAAGAAACTAGCTAATCTGCGGGGAAGGAACGTCTCAATCCTGATGTAGGGTAGCGACTGCAACAAGATCCACTATTATTATTATTATTATTATTATTATTATTATTATTATTATTATTATTTTATTTTATTTTATTTTTTTAAAAAAATTACCCACTCAGTAAACAACATGAAAGGTCTCCGTCTTGGCGCCTGAGGAAGCGCTCTGCTTAACTCGGAAACGCGCAGCCTTGCCATTTTCCTTTCCTTTTTTTGCCAGTGTTGGTTGTTGACCCAGTTGACGAATCCGACCGCAGCGAAGCGCTTTGAAATCCCAACTAGATCAGCTGGGCATCTCAAAGGGCTTCAGTGTAGACTGGGTTCTATGCACCATCAGTTCATCTGCACTATGCCTCTGAATCTGGTTTTAACAGGCAGGGTAATTTGCTTTCATCTTACTTAAGGGGGAAAGGGGTGGTGTTTATTTTTTGAACTGGGTAAACTTCAGAACATTGTGGCAAGCTCGGCTGCGGCCGCATCCTGCGCACCTTTACTCAGAAGTACTGCAACCCGCCTTGAGTGCACTGGGGCTTACTCCCGAGTACGTGTGCACAGGATCTTGGCCTTTGCTTTCCTGAAAAGAGCCACCCAATGCCTCGTCGGCGTTTCAGAGCTTCTACGGATCCAAACCTCAGGATAAATAGCATGGGCGCGAGTGGGGGGGGGCAGGGATGGACAGCTGTCCCCCTAGATCAAGTAAAACAATAGAAATACTTAACTGACCAATCACGACGGTTCTGCCCCCCCCCCCAGCAAAAGTCCCGCCCCCCTCCTAACAAAAATCCTGGCTACGCACATGATAAACGGCTAATACAGCCACAACTCCCCCCCC